TACACGAGTTTTAAATATTCTTATAAATATAGTAAAAATAAAAGTCAGTTTCTTTCAAAAATTTCTCCGTGAAAGTAGTTTTCCCTGGGCAGATATACTTTGAGGTTTTGTTATTAATAATTCACGAAGAAGTCCGGCAGTTCTAATAAATACAGCAATATTTATCTTTTTCTGCAAAAATTATAAGTAAGACAGGAAATTTTTTTTCCTTTTGTTAGGCTAAGGAGATTATGAATCTCAAAAAACCGTTGCTTATTCATTGTCCACGCAAAAATCGCAAACCAAAACTTTCTCAGAAAACCCCACTTCGCTTCCAAAAAAATATATTTCTATCCAAGCCTCTTACGAATAACTACTTAAATACTGATTTGCACGCTTTATAGCAAATCCAGATGTATTGAAGCAGCCAAATGAATTGATAAGGGAAGAGATTCGATACGTAAAAGTACCACATTTCTTCTTTTCCTATGGCATATATTTCAGTTAAATGTATTTCATCTGAAAAGTCACCAAGAATAATCAAATGAGCTGAACGTGAGGAAAACTCTTCTCCGAGGATTAGAATAGTAGATAAATATTATATACGCAAAACTTTTTAAGTTGCCACAAAGACTCAAGTTTTAGGAAATCTACGTATGCAGTAACTTTCTTTTTTAAGTTTGAAATATCGGATTTGCGATGATAAAAGTAAATTCGGTCTTAGTGCTATAAGAATGGCATTATAAGCCACCGCTACTATATTTTAGCAGAATTTTTCAGTTCGTTTCAGAAAATTTTGTAGTCATTAAATATCTGTTGGAAGCACTGTTCAAGCTAAGAAAAGAGTTTTCGGCAGATATCAGCTAAATTCATGTATTATAATGAATTTTGAACAAATAATTGGCAAAACGAAATCTGACAATCAATGTTACTATTAGCTATAAATTCAGTTTGCCGGAAATTATGTGGAATACCAACAAATTAAGAAAGAATTTAGACTCAATGTTTGCATATTAAAGGTTCTTCCGTAAGCGATATTTAGCTAAAAGAGTTTGAACTCAAGATAAGTGCTCTTTAGAGTAAAGCAATCTTTATTCTTCCATAAATTTTTCACATCGATGTGGATTTGGCGCCTTTACCCTCTTCTAGCGAACAGTGGCAGGAGTCTTAGCTCGTGTGCTCTGTCGACAAGAGACATTTTTAAAAGGGGGTTCTTTTTTATTGGACGTCACGGTAAAGTGTCTGCCGCGATCCTAAACTCTCATGACTTTAACGATCACGAGACAAATGTTCTGCCAATTCAGCTACTGACACGAGATATTTTTTTGCTTCCGTAATGTCTTCATATTAATACCGGGCTTGGTGTCGTTTTAATAGTTTTCATACATCTACAGAAAATCGCTTTAATGCTTCCGTTTTTCTGTCTACCCTTAAAAAGGATTCTACCAGAGTAAAGAAATTAATTTGGAATGATACCATATCGCAATAAATTGTGTTATAGAAAAACGTTAAGAGCCACAGGCAATTTTTAACCTGAATGCTTGTGTCAAACTGGCTATTCTGCGCCACAGTTCTTTGACAATGGCAGGAACTGAATAAATCAAGTAATTATCATAGATTTAGTGTAAGAAATTTAAAAATAAAAGTTTGTATTGAGTAGAAGATTATTTTTATCGCTGCATACTCCTCCAAGCATTTTTTTGTTTTCGAATTAAAGAAAACTGAGAAATGGAAAGTAAAATGCTTAACATTGCGGACATCATAATCCAGACATAATTAAATAAGATTAGCTTACCTAATTCACATAGCCCACCAGCAGCCAAGTGGTAAAGACGCTGAACACTAATAGTTCGGTCCGAGGTTCGAATCCCGCGAACGGGCTGGCTGCATGGGCGTTTTCGTGGTTTTGCCCATGTGTAACGTGTATAGGAGCCAGTTTCCCTTAGAAAGTCCTCCACGAAGGCATCCCTCCCCTTAGGCAGATAGCCCTCGTGTGCTTTGCCATAATTTAATAATCCAATCCAATTCATCCTTAATTCACTTAAAATATATCTTGATAAAAAAGAATTCACATTCGCGAAAATGATTGAAATGTCCCACCAGAAGGCTTCGGAATTACGATGTCAAACTGCATTTGTGGTACAAAAATATATTCATCAGTTTTGGAATAAATGTGAATGTGTATACAAAATGAGAAAGAAAGTTTATTACTTAAGTTGAAAACTTTGAAAATAAAAATTCTTATTAAAAGAGCATTCATCTGACAAATAATTGTATAATTTACATTCTATTTTAACAGAATTTCGTAAGAAAGTTCCTTCAAATGCTTGAAGCACTTTCATATTAGTTTCATTAAGTACTAGATTTATTTAATGCATTATTTCCGTACGACTGCTTCTCAAAATATGGTTAAAGCAGCTACCTAAATTCAACAGGAAACTATCCCAACATTTCGCATCAATGTTATCATCATTTAACGACTAAAATCATCCACTTATTCTTGCACGTTTTAGTTTAACCAGTTTGTACTAAGCCGCCCACTTGTGATGATACCAGAAGATACATCTTTCCCCGCATATTTGCGAAGATCAGCGTGCTTTATTCTGTCTTTGGCTATGCAGTAACTACTACGAAATTGACAGAGATTCTCTCTGGAGCATAACCAGATAACTGCGAGTTCTTGAGCAGTTAGCTTTGAAACATTTCATGCTTTGCCCTTTATTGAATTTCAGTGCTTTTCAGTTAAATTTTAGCGCTTCAAGGAAACAGTCGATATCTTTTGAGAAATTTTAAAGGATATGGTTATTTGAAAGTTACCCCACGGCTATTCTTTCTATTAAATAGCTTACCATATTGTTTTCATGGCCTATTTGCTTAAACATTTGCCTGAAAATAAATTTTGACATTCTCTCATCTTTATTTGCTGCATCCAAATGTGCAACAAATTTTACTGCATAATAAATCAATATGAGTTGATTTTCTAATTTCGAGTACTCCTTTTGATCAACAACCTTTGTTGTTCTAGAGCTAGCATTTAAAAGTGGTTTCAGCTTCCATTTCTTAGCATTTAAAATTGGTATTCAGCTGCTATCTCTTAGATACTAGAAATCTGAGCGACTTTGATTGCAATAACAAAATGTCAACCTCCCCACTATCAAATTTGCCCATTTAAGTTAAAGAAGAACTAATCACAAGCTTCTAAATTTATCATTACATATAATCAAAGAATACTTTGTTATCGATTATGGGTAATTATATTAGATCATAAAAAATTATAAGTCTAACTTTCTATATGTCTGCTTGTAGTTACTTCGTTTAGATTTGGAATAATACATATCTAGGAATCAAACTAATTTATTACAGCAAAACTTTCGAGGCTTATTTGTCTTTAACTTCGAAAACGATCTAAGGTATCTTAAATTACAAAATTACAGATTTTTGTGGGATTATATTGAGAAAAATTAACGTCTGAATTATTTATGTGATTTTTTAAGCGTACATAATTTTACATTTAAACGAATTATGTGCGTTGCTTTTGAAAATATCATGTTGAAATTTTATTCATATATCCTAGCGAGAATTACGAAACGTTAACGTAGTTTATAGTATCGTTATAAATGTGGAAGAAGGAGCAATTATACTAATCGAAGATATTGGACTGTTCGACGTGGGTTAAATAAAGGAAAATGTTGAAACTACTGGCACTGTGTCAAAATAGCGTAGCCTGTTCAGAATGAAATTTGCACTCAAAAAAGTAACATAACAATGCAAAATAATTCCTAATTTGTAAACAGGTTTTTAAGATATACAAAATAATGTTATAGATATATTTAATATATGTTAATAAGAGTCATTAAAGGAAATCAATTTTGTCCAAATGTCAATTAAATTATTGCATAAATAAATACCATGTAAAATTCTGTTTGTCTTCGCAAGCATTTTTATAAAAAGGACATTTCAGAAAAAAAAAAGAATCAGTGACATTTTTAAAGATATACGTATATATGTGCATTCACAACAATCACTGAAATTTTATGATGAAGAAGCAATAAGAACTGAATATGGATAGATTTTATGTTAAAACATACTTGTGTTATTCTTAAATATATATTCTAATTAAAAAATATTTCGAAAGGCAACATCTGAAAAACAGACTTCATATTCTGTGCTTAAATGCTTACAAAAAAAGGATTTAGGTTAAAAGATGTGCCACTAAGAACTAAGTGTTCTATTTAAAATTTTGAATGATAATTAAATGCAGATGTTATCAAAATGTTTGTCAGAAAGTTTAGAAAAAAATATCATGTCTTTAAGGAAAAAAAAGACAAAAGTTGTTTAATTCAACATTGGTCAAAATTGGAGAAGAAACCTAATCAAGGCTGAAAACATCGCTAAACGTTACGTTACGAATTTTAAAAAAGAATTTTTTAATTACACTACTCATCTGTATTTAAAAATATTAATTTCAACATTCAAAATAATTTTATGCAGTGTCATTTCTCTAACTTCGGATCAATTGTTCGTATTTAAGGATTTTTTTTGGAAAAACTGCAGTAATAGAACACAAAACTGTTAAATGGACTGATATGTTTCAGACTTTTGAGATACTAAATTTGAATAAAGTTTTAGCATTATTTCTAAGTATAACAATTAAGTACATTATTTTAGTCCTAAAACTGAAAAATTACTTCAGGCTAATTTTTGGGTAGGGAACAAGTTATTTACGAGTGAATACTAGAATGCTTAATCACAAAATATGGCGTTTGAGGACATGCAGTAGATAAAAACAAGAAGCAAGAAGACAATATTTCAAAATAGTTTTCCTAAATTTTGAGAATTTCACATGCAAAATTTAAGTGACATGTCTGAAAGCTAAAATGTACGGAAACACAAACACGTGTTTCGTAAAAAGCGCGCGAATTAGTAGTTTGATTTGATCGAGTAAATTTTCGATTTCCAACTGCATTTCAAATAATCAATACACCTCTAGAGTAACTACAGAACAGGTGAAAATTACTAACCTTTGAGCACTGCGAGAAATTCCTTTTTAGGAATTTATCTTCGGATCCCTCTATTAAAGAGTTCTGAAGAAAAGTTGATTCAGAAGAACTGAAGGATAAGAGTGGGAGCCACGAGTGCTACTCTGCTTTCGCTTCAGCCGCTTTCTAGGTGATGCTCTGGGATGAGCAGGAGCAGAAGGGATATGAGGAGGTGGGTCACGTGAATGTTCGAATGGGATGGGACCTCATCAGTGGAGGGGTGGGCCGCTATATTTCACGGTAGGACAAAGCGCTTCATTTGGTAGCAATTCAGTTGCTTTTTATGGTGAAGAAATTCGTTTTCTTTTAAAATTGCTTAATGTGCGAGTTGATTTTTTTCATTTATAAAGTTCGATGAAGTTTCAGAAACTCTGAAAACAAAACTCTTCTGAACTTACAAGTTACAGGAGATTAATTTTCTGTTTAAAGAATTTGAGAGCTACAAAAAAAAAAAAAAAAAAAAAAAAAAAAAAAAAAAAACATTCACATGTAGATCCATAACTTTCGGAAAGTTATTTTGCTTTTTAAAATAAAAATAAAATAATAAAAGAAATTTTGCCTTCTTAATTTTAGCGATTTAATCAAGTACTACTTATTTATTATCTCTTTCCTTTTACAAACCAGAAAATCTTTTCACTTTTAAAATCGTGCGCTATTTCTTCGGTCTTTTTGGGAAAAAAAATCGTAAATTTATTTACTATCTATTTAATTACTTATTGCGCATTTTATTTATTTAACAGAAAAATAAGTAAATACACTCATGTCCATAAATTAAGGATAATACAAAATCAGGCAAAGGAAGAGTTAGAAGCAAAACAAATTTGACTTATTTGTAAAGCTTATTTATTAAACAAAAGGTAAAGAGCAAAAATAGATGCTATAGGTTTGATATTATTAAAAAAATGAGCGATTTTTTCTTCCTGGAGCAAATTACAAAAAAAAAAAAACAAAAAAAAAACCTATGATTGTTAATACATTGTATGTCTCCCAGACGATGCAATACAGTCCGTACCACGCCTAGGCATGCTGAGTATCAAATTATCGATCTGATCTTGGGGGATATTACACCACTCAAAAAGCAATGCTCTCCGAAGTTCCGGTAGACATGTAGGAGGAGGTTGACGGGCTGCAACTCGTCGGCCAAGCATGTCCCACACATGCTCTACTGGATTCAAGTCCGGTGAGAATGCTGGCCAGTCCATACGGGTGATATCCTCCGATTGAAGGCATTCGCTTACGATGTTTGCACGGTGAGGACGGGCGTTGTCATCCATAAACACAAATTGTGCGCCCATGGCGCCCCGAAACAAACGTACATGTTGTTCCGGAATGATGTCCCAATAGATTTGGCTTGTCATGGTTCCAATTTGAACATGAAGGTCAGTTCTGGAACCCAGAATAATTCCACCCCAAACGAGCACACCTGCACCACCGTAACGGTGTCGTTTAATAATGTTTTCTTGGTGGTAACGGGTACCTGGAGCTCTCCATATGAAATTCCGGCGAGAATCAGACTGCAAGCTAAACCTGGACTCGTCAGAAAACATCACACAAGCCCACTGTTGCGGTGTCCACAATGCATGCTCCCTACTCCACGCTAACCGCAGGCGACAGTGAGTTGCAGTAAGTGGAACGCATCTGACAGGTCTACGAGCATATAGACCAATCTGCCCTAAGCGTCTGTACACGGTCTGCCTTGAAATTGTGGTACTAGTGGCTGAAGAGAGCTAACGAGACAGGTCTAAGGCTGTGCTCTGCTTGTTTCTTTTGGCAGTAACTGCTAAATACCGGTCCTTATTCGGCGTTGTAACTCTGGGGCGACCTGTGCTGTAACTTCTACTCACATTACCATCATCTTGGAATCGTTGCCAGAGCCTGAAGATGACACTCTGGGCAATTCCAAGTTCGTCTGATACTTCCAGTTGGGTACGCCTACATTCCAGACGGCCGATAATTCTACCACGTAAAAAATCGTCAAAATGCGTCCTTTGTGTCATAACTATTCGGTTATTGCACTGAAATGCTTATAAAGCGCCTGCGAACAATTTTACTTTTTTGCCTGTATTCCTTATATATCACTCTCTTACACTCTCGTCATTGTGACGTACCATCGGTTTCATCTGGTTACTTCCTGAAATTTGCATATGATTCTTGAAGATGTGTGTAGTGATTTTACAGGTGATATATTTATTTTAGAGTTTGATTTCCGCGTGACTCTGAATTATCCTTAATTTATGGACATGAGTGTAGGTAAGTAGCAAACGAATTCTGAACTGAAACACTCTGTCGCCAATTATTTCGACAGATTTTAACGAGAGCTCATGTTTTGATATTAAGACAGAAACGTTAAAAGCAAAAATAGAATTAAGTGTATTTCTTAAAGAATAACAAAATATAAATTATATTCTTTTATAAGGTATTTCTCTCACTTCCCTTACGTGCCTTCGTGGTGTAACGGTAGCACGCTGAGCCGGTACTCCAGAGGTCCGTGGTTCGATTCCCGGCGAAGGCGGTTGCATATTTTTCATCTTTTTGCTTTTTCCAACCTAATTTTGCTCTTTTAAACCTAATGATGTCTCTACAATCCTTAAAGTTATTCTTGTCTCAACTGTTTACAAAAATTTTAGTATCGAAAGCAAAGGCGTCTTGATCAGTTTACTACCTTTAACTGAACTCAAGTCAAAATTTAGTATCGAAAGCAAAAGACTGCTCTCTTTATGTATGATAAGAGGAATAATGCTATGCATTAGTCCAGGGTGAGCTTAGCGCCCACATTTCACAGGATAATGCTACACAGACTATAAAACAAACGCTTGCATAAAAGACTAAACATCCAACCCTAGAGTAGATCCTGTAAAAGCATTAACCCCTTCCTTTGTTTTGTTTTATTAGAGAACAAATAAAATTTATACTAAATGCTTGCAGTAAATCTAGAAGAACTTTAAATAATAAGATATAATAAATTGAACACTCCAGCATAAAACATGATTTCAAACGATAAATCAAACAAAACTAGTATTTAGATCTAATTATTTTTAAGATGAATGAAGAAACGCAAATTATATTAGATTTTGTACTTGTTACAATAACGCAATCTATGTAAACATGAATCTTGTGATTAACTAATTCATGAAATTTTACCTTCTGTAGATGTGTTTTACACATACCTATATTTTCTTATTTACATTAATAAGTGGGAAAAATTTACTTACCCTAAAAGATTATGCAAGAACAGCAATAAATGTTCTCTCAAAGTGCCTTTCTTAGCTTTTGTCATGGTTCGCTGAATATTTCACGTTAAAACAGAAAATATTATAACGAAGAAATGAAATTGTTTATTATGTTTTTTTGGCGATTCAAAGAATATTTTAGAATGTAGAAAACAATAAACTTTGCCCTCTAATCGTTATTGTGTCAGGCTTCATTGAAGCCAAGCTTGTTATACCAGTTCCACATAGTTTTCGGTAGAAATCGAGGGAAGGTAGACACGACGACTGAAAAATGGAAGAAATACACGCATCACCTTTGTTAGAGGTACAGAAAATCAGTAAAAATAGTAATCAAAGGATTTTTTTTTTAAATTCAAACCTCTTGCCACATAAACAGCAAATTTTCTTATAAAATATCTTTCTCTTCATTTCTTACAATTCATCTGCTATCTAAACATCTTTTTATTAAAAAAAAAATCAAATCTAAATATCTAAATACTTTTTCTTATTTCAATTCTATAAATTTTCTTTTTTTATCCGAATTATCTATATCGTGCTATTTAGCTACAAAATTTATGTTATTAATAATGAACTTATAGAGTTTGACTTCCTTTAGTAGCATAAACTAGAATAAAAGTCCTAAGAGACTTGGAGCGAATTATAGCAGTGACTGAAGTTAACGACAGAGACATGAAAAGGTTAAAATAACCTTTTTATTAAATCAGAACGTGAATATAAAATGCACGTCTCGTGCTTGCAAAAAAGCTCAGCTTAAATACTTTTTAACTGATTTATATTTCTGGCGAGGAACATAGAAAAGGAGAAGTTATAATAAAGGTCTAAATAATAATAACGGGTCAATTAAAATAATCATAAGCGTACAAGTTATTAAATATATGGAGAAAAATTAAAACTTTGCAATATAATAATCGCAAAAACATATGGATGTAATTGAAATATTATATCAAGAAAAAACTTTGTTAGTTTCTTTTGCAGCAATCGCATACTTAAATGACCATTAAAAATTATTGAATACACTAATGAACGATAAACAATCGTTAAGGTCATATATTGTTTAGTCTATATTGGGCAACTAATTCAAAAACACAAAATATTGGTAAAACTATTTTTAAATATTTAGCATCCCCAACACATATAATCATCACCTGATTGCCTGTGTTTTGTGACTTATATTAAAAGTATTTATTTTGTTACGTTATCTTCATATTAATCAAAATGTGATTTTTAAATCCTTCTATTAATTTTTAATACAAAGTTCTAGTTTTCTGACCAAATTTGTCCGAACTAAATACTAAACATTCTGACTGCCTTGAATTTCACAAAAGGTCTAGGCAGTTAGAAATGGTCATTTTATGCATAATTAAGTGACAAAATTCGTTGAACTTCAAACAAAGATAGATATTCAGAGAATGTTATATTCGCAAGTTTAATCTGCTGCCTTTTACACGGCTACTATCATACTAATTACTAATACAAATGAAATGGGACGCAGATCTTAATCATGTAAATGCCAGGAATGAAAGAGAGTTTCATTATGAATATTTGTTAGTCGAGTTTGTGTCCATGGTTCGTATATATTTTAGAACACGAAGTTAATAAACGGGGTGTCTGTCACGTTACGTCGTCGGCCTTCAGTATTGCCACTAAGAAATTCAGGAGAGAAAAGAAGTATGCGTAACGCATCCATTTGCTAGGAACAAAGAGTTATGCCTCATACTTGGATGCTATCAAATGCCTATATGATAGGAAACTTAGACCAGAATATCGAGAAAGTAGACTCTAGTTTCTTTCTCATTTTCCTTTTTTAAATTTATTTTCACGATAGTTTCCATTGTCGTTTTTGTGCGGCAAAACACACAAGGCCAATCCGCCCAAGAGAAAGGAAGTCTTTATGAAGGACTTACTTTTTTCCACT